AAGAACTGTCATAGGCTACGAATGCTTGCACCAGTGTACATCTCAGTGAGAGAAGGGGTACATTTCAATGGCATACTCATACATGGACATCACAGCTTTCCCCCCACTTCCTACATTTGATTTGTCTCTACTTTTTTTTTTTGGTAGAGTCTTGCCCAGGCTGGCTGTTGCCCAGGCTAGAGTGCAATGGCTCATAGCTCACTACAGTCTTGAATTCCTGGGCTCAAGAGATCATTCTACCTCAGCCTCCTGAGTAGCTGGGACTACAGGTAGGTGCCATTGCGGCTGGCTAATTTTTAAAAAACAATTTTTGTAGAGATGGGGGATCTTACTATGTTGCCCAGGTTGGTCTTGAACTCCTGGAATTGAGTGATCTTCCTGCCTTGGCCTCCTGAAGTGCTGGGATTATAGGCATGAGCCACTTTGCCCCGTCTCATCTCTACTTCTAGATCAAATTTTCTAATGGGTTAGGATGCAATGTCTTATATTTCTGCAAAATGGCTGCAAAATGAAATCTTTTCCTAGTTTCATGTCTATCATAGATCGAAATGTGTCTCCTGCACAATACATATGTTGAAGTTCTAACTCTCAGTACCTCAAAAGGTAGTCTTCTTTGGAAACGGGATCAATGCAGATGTAATTAGTTAAGATGAGATTATACTGGAGAAGGGTAGGCGTCTAATCCAATATGATTGGTGCCTTCATAAAAAGGTAGAATTTGGAGACACATGCACAGGGAGAACGCCATGTGAACATGAAAGCAGAGGTCAAAATGATGTGTCTACAAGCCAGGGAACACCAAAGATTGCCTGCAAACCACCAGCAGCCACGAGAGAGGCATGCAGCAGATTCTTCCCCACAGCCCTCAGAAGGAACGAACCATGCGGATATCTTGATCTTCAACTTCTAGCCTCCAGACCTGTGACACAATAAATCCTGTTGTTGAAGACACCTAGTTTGTGGTGCTTTGTTATAGCAGCCCTAGCAAATTAATACAATATCCAGGCAGTTATTGATTTTTGAGAATCTTGGCATTCAAAGATTGTTCACATGTGACGTCAGCACCTACAGCCTGTCACTTATACATGATTTATACATGATTTAATTAAAAGCAGCATGGTGTGTGCATTTTAAAATATAAAATGCTGTTGCAGGCCAGACCACACGGTAGGTCACGCCTATAATCACAGCAGTTTGGGAGGCCGAGGCCAGCGCATCACCTGAGGTTGTGAGTTGGAGACCAGCCTGACCAACATGGAGAAACCCCGTCTCTACTAAAAATACAAAATTAGCCAGGCATGGTGGTGCATGCCTGTAATCCCAGCTACTCGGGAGGCTGAGGCAGGACAATCGCTTGAACCCGGGAGGCAGTGGTTGCGGTGAGCTGAGATCACGCCATTGCACTCCAGCCTGGGCAACAAGAGTGAAACTCCATCTCAAAACAAAACAAAGCAAAACAAAATAAAACTGCTGCTGCATTGAGAGGCCGAGAGGAATCGGAACAGCACTTGTTGGGTTTTGCCACTCAATTAGTGTTATATCATGTTCCCTTTGTCCAATCATATTTCTACACAACTGTTGATCATGCCTCTCCAATAAAGTCCCCATAAAAGACCCAAGGGGACAGGGTTCAGGAAGCTTCTGAGCTGGCTGAACATGTGGAGGAGGTTCCTGGAGGGCGGGGTGCCCGTGGAGGGCATGGAAGCTCTACACCCCTTCCCCCAGACCTCACCCTATGAATCTTTTCATCTGTATCCTTTATGATATTCTTATAATAAACTGGTAAATGTAATGTACATATACACATATATGGAAATATGTTGAAATTAGAATTTCCCAAAATTAGAATATACGTACAATTCTAATTTCAATATATTTTCTAAAATCAATTTGTCACTTATTAACTGTTTTTGAGCTACAAAAACAAAAATTTCATTTGGTTCACCCTAAGATTCATGTGACTTCTGGGCCGAAACTCTGGCTTCCCTCGCTGTTTGCTTAATGGGACCACTAGGGATCCATATTTTGGACCAGACTCGTTAATATTACGTAGATTTCCAGCTATGTGACTTTGGCCAAGTCCCTTATCTGCCCTGAACCCTTTTCCCCCTGTAAAACAATGGGGTGGGGATAAACTCCCTCTAAATTCTAGCTAAGACATTTTAGGACTTAGAGGAAGCCTTGATCTAGGCAGACTTGATGACCCTTGGTCCAGTGAGCCAAAAGCAGGGCTGCTTACAGAAATCAGCTCAGCTAAATAAAGGGTTTGAAGAAAAATATTAAAATAGAGGCCTCTAGCAAATTAAATATTCAAAGTGAAGAAGTCAGAATTTATTGAAAGCCTATCACCATTTAAAATGCATAATTTTAGCATAAATACTCTAGAAATATTCCTTTTGTTTGCTGTGTGTTATTGTTAATAAAGGAGATCCCACATCTAGATTTGTCATATGTCACTAATGAATCAACCATAGGATGCAAATTATAATTATTTTGAATTATCTATTTACTGTTTAATTACATTTAATTTTAGGTTCTCCTAAAATGGTCTAATAAAAATTTGGGGTGCTAAATGACTGCCTCATCTGCCTTACTCTGTGCTACTTGCTGAAAATAGTTACATTAATTGTTTGGGGATTCTTTTCCTTTAAAAAAAAAAAAAAAAAACTAACCTGGGGGCATGGTCCTAAATACAATATCCTAAAAATTTTATGCTTTTCTTTTTTTCGCCAGGGCTGTAGTAAAATGTAAGTTACACTAAACTCATTAAAATAAACCTTTGCACGTTACCACTGAATCAATTGGATATAATCTGAATAACAACTAAATAAAAGTCGCATCAGTGCCACCCTTAGACCAGGGCAAGAAGGCCTCTGCCCTGGCTTCTGTGTATTAGAGAGTCTGTTCTAGCCCTTCTCTGCCCATGCTGCTCCACGCAAGGCAAGGAGGTCCCAGGGCCAGATGACAGGCCCACCTGTGATGCTCACACACATGCACACACATGCTCTCCCATAACACATTCTAAGTACCCAACACCCTTACCTTCCCTGCTCAAAGGGGCCTAAGCTGCTTTCTAAGGCTTTAAAAACCTCTTGGCTGGGTCTTTCCTGCAAGGGTAACCATCACTGGCAGGCTCACTGCCAGGCCAAGAGGATGCTGAGGTGGGGATGCGAGCAGAGTTGGGACTTCTTTGCTGGACAAGGCGGAGGAGAAGAGGCAGGCACACACATCCCTGCCTGTGTGTGAGACCCCTCACAGTGCAAAACTGAGCCTGGGGTGGGAAATGGGGTTGGGGGGAGCTAGAGAAGCAGGCAAACTACATTCCACCCTGGTTTTCCAGGTTCTTAAGAAGGCATATTGGTCAAAGTGGAGAGGAGAACACATATTTTACCTACAGTTTGATATCTTGAATTATAATTTAATATTTAGGCGGACGGTATGAGGGCCTCCATTCACACTCTTGCCGTGGACCTGGCAAATGTGAACAGAAGGTTGAGTAAAATCACAGTTTTGTGTTGTTGGCTTTTGAGTGTTCCATCTCTCTTACAGTTTTAGTTTGTCACACCTTGCACCTTGTATGTGTAAGTAAAATTAATGGCATAGGAAAGAAACCAAAAGAAGTGAAGAATAAGAGACTAAAGAAACTCTACAGGCCGGGCACGGTGGCTCACGCCAGTAATCCTAACACTTCGGGAGGCCAAAGTGGGTGGATCACCTGAGGTCGGGAGTTCGAGACCAGCCTGGCCAACATGGTGAAACCCCGTCTCTTCTTAAAATACAAAAAATACTCCCCCCCCAAAAATTATCTGGGTGTGGTAGTGCACACCTGTGATCCCAGTTATTCAGGAGGCTGAGGCACGAGAATCTCTTGAACCCGGGAGGCAGAGGGTGCAGTGAGCCGAGATCACGCCACTGCACTCCAGCCTGGGCAACATAGTGAGACTCTGTCTCAAAAAAAAAAAAAAAAAGAAAAAGAAAAAAAAAAGAAAAAGAAAAGGCAGGAAGGCGGGAAGGCAGGCAGGCAGGCTAAGGCTTAATTTTTCTGCCCAGTGGGTTTTGGAATATGGCTGGCTTCCTTCAGGAAGCTTTTTCCCCACGTTGGTGACGATAATAAAACCTGATGCTTTCTATATGCTGGGCCTTCTTACAAACACTAACACATATTAACAATCGAATCCTAAACTAATCCTGTGTTAACAGCCTCCCATTTTACATATGAGGAAACCTGGGGTGACTTGCAGACGGCCTGGCAGCTGGGACGTGGATAGGGAATCCAGGGCCCCTGCTAGAGGATCCTACAAGACATTAGGAGCACTGTCCATTAGAGCTGTCTGCACAAACGTCTGCTTCGCAAGCAAGTAGTTAGCAACTTTTCCCTCTCGCCAACGATACTGGCACCTGGAACAATAAACACATCCTTAGATTCAGCACGGATTTTCGAGTAAGGGGTTGGTCCACTGTCGGGGCTGAGCACAGCTGTTTAGCATTTGAGGGTTTGTCTTTTTGTGCGTGGCGTTTTGTGTCGCGTTTGAGTGCTGATATAATAGAACAAGCTTAGCACAGTGCCTGGCACTCAACAAATCCTGGCAAGAAAGGAGGCCGAGGAAAAGCAAGCGAGGAGAGACGGAAGAAAGGGAGGGACTGTTAACGTAAAACTTGCAACGTTAACGTAGTTTGTGCGAATTCTGGAAGGTGACGGGAAAGGAGACGCGGGTGCCGATGGCGAGATGAGAGAGCCCCGGGCGCCCTCCGACGTGGTCCGCCGGGGCCTCTTGTAGCCCAGCGCCTGCCTCACGACGCCCCGCCTCTACCACGCCCCGCCTCTACCACGCCTCTTCCCCGCCCCATGCAGTTATTCGTCCCGCCCCCGACAAAGTCTGCCTCTGCCCCGTCCGTCAGCGGCGTCCCGCCCCCACGGCGTCTTGCCCCGCCTCCTGCAGGCTGCCCGGCGCAGTGTTTACCCGCGGTGCATGCGGGGGCGGTCTCCTCCGGCAACCTCGGCCCAACGGCAGCCCAGAGGCTGTGCTGAGCTGGCACAGCGACAGCAGCATGAACCGGACCCTCGCATCCGTGCCTCTGTCGAGTCCCGAATACTACGAGAAGGTGGGCCAACTCCTGCGTGGGCTGCGGGACAGGTAAGGGCACTGGAGTGGGGGTGGGGAGTCGGCCCGCGCCGAGGGTCTTCCGCAGGCCCTGCCCGCTTTTCCTTCCCGCTCCCCCGCCCGAAGTTCCCCGGGGTCCAGGCCCGCGCGAAACGCCCCTCAGGCTCCCAGTGGGGCCTAGAGGACAACGTTTACTAGAGCCACTCCATGTACTGGGGGTGGGAGCGGAAAGTGGTGAGAGACTGCCCCCTGCCCCCTTCAATAGCAGCTAAAGCCTGGTCTCCGGTTTGAGGATGCGGCCGCGTCACAGAATTTGCCCAGAAGTGAAAGTGGGAGTTCTTCTGCCTGTCACTCTCCATCAAGCCTTGTGAGTTTCTCTTGCCCCCTTTTACACGCCCCCTCCCAACTCTCTCTTCAAATTGTTATCCCGCCGTGACAGCTGCACTGCATCAATGATGACAGGTCCTGGAACGCAGACGGTTGTGTGTGTGTGTGTCAAACATGTGCCCTGTTTAAACTCAGGAGACTTTTGAGGGGAGCGAGGGCTGACTAGATTTCCAGCGAAGGGATGAAATTTCCAGCCAGAGAAGTCCAGCTTCCAGAGGGTTCGTGATGCCTTTGATTAAGATATGAAAGATGGGAACCACTGAAAACAGCTAGATCTAAGAGTGCATATAGAGAGAAAATTATAACACAATGTACTATAAATAACCACGTGAAAGATAAATTGCTGGACCTCTTATTTAGCTGCTAAGTTAATTGAAGTTGTAAATCTCGTTAGTTGACAAGAAAGGAAATAGATTTTTGGATCTCTTGATAAACAAAACATTTAATGAGTGTTAAAAGTTACAAAATCGTTCTAGTGAACAGGAGAGCTGTGGGTGTGACAATGCTAAAATGATAACAATAATTACATGGAAAATAAAGGCAGAAGTAAGTGATTTTGTAAAGGAATTACATTTATCTTATGCTAGATTTAATTCTTGTCAGATATTTACAGAACATCTACAACAGGCTTCCTTAGTTGTCGTTAGCATTTTCTTTTACCTTGTACTCCTTTTCTACATCCTATTTTCTTTCTGACATATCATCACTCACCTGTATCAGTGACCTCTTAATTTCTAACTTTAAAAATAAATCACTTCCTGCAGAGCCTTCCCTGTTTCAACCCATTCCCTCACTTTTGTGACTCTTGGCATTCTTACAGCACTCATAAATGGCATTCTTTCTGAACTGTTAATTGTAAGTTATTTTTGTTTCCTGTGCTAGGAACACCTGGCTGTTTATAGTCCTTATGGCACAATAACTGTGTAATGATTATGTACTTTATGATTAACACTTACTCCTTTAATTATTAAACAAGGTGAGGCTGTTGAAAATATATAAGGAATTTGAGTCAAATTTTATAGCCTGTTCATGGTTCTGCATTTGGAGGTTTGTTTTATTTTTAAGTCAGTACAAATCTGTTGCTGTGTGTGTTCATTTTTCATTTTAAGAATTTATAACTAACTCAGGTTAATGAACATTGCACACAGTTATAGAGGCAAATAATTCTAGATACAGAAAAGGCTCCAGTAGAAACATCAAAACCTGGATTCGAGTCCACAAACAATTGTGTGACCTTGAGCAGGTTGCTCCACCTCTCTGAACCTTGGTTCTTCACCAGGAATGAGGGGGCTTGACTAATATGCAAAGTAAGGCCACAGATTTTTTCTTTTTCTCTTTGCTAGTATAATGGGCCTTAAAGGAAAATAAGAAAAAAAAAAAAAGCCGAAAGCTGTAGTTTTGCAAAGCAATGTGTAAAGAATATTATTGTCTGTATCCAATTTGAGTGTTTGGATGTACCTTTTTGTTTGTTTGTTTGAGACATAGTCTCTATTGCCCAGGCTGGAGTGCAATGGCATAATCTCGGCTCACTGCAACCCCCGCCTCACAGGTTCAAGCGATTGTCCTGCCTCAGCCTCCCAAGTAGCTGGGATTACAGGTGTCCACCACCAACCCCAGCTAATTTTTGTATTTTTAGTGGAGATGGGATTTCATCGTGTTTGCCAGGCTGATCTCGAACCCCTGACCTCAGGTGATCTGCCTGCCTCTGCCTTCCAAAGTGTTGGGATTACAGGTGTGAGCCACTGCACCCGGCCTTGGATGTACCTTTTTAAGCAAACAAACACAAACCATTCCAGTGATCACAGATACCACTGTCTCCTAAAATTCCTGAGTCATTTCATAGGTTGCAACCCTGGGTAGTCACAGCTGCTTTATCAATCCAGAAACTTCTGGGAAGTGGGAGACAAAAAAAAAAACACAAACTCCCTCTTAGCCCTTTTAGAGATGGTCATTGCAATGTTAGCTGGTCAAATAACCAACATATTTCTAGCCCAAGTCATCTTAGCTGTAGTTATACATAGATGTAATTTTATCGTCTGAATGTTTTCCTGTATGTGTACAGTGTTTTCTCTGCATTGTGGTGAAAGTCAATAATCGAATCTATAAAAGAGTCTAATAGAGTGACTTGTTACAGTGTGTATAACACCCACAAGCATGGTAGAAACTTATGAGTGGAATTGGCTCTTATGGTTATATAAAAACATCCTTTTAAAAGGGCCCATTAGCCAGCCGCGGTTTTTTCAGTGCCTATATTGATTCAGAGTAAGATATCATAATAGTCTAGAAACTGACACTGAGATATTAGTGGAGTAAGTTGAAGATGGTATAGAATTGTGGTATCGAGACAAAAACAGAATAACAAGTGGCTTAAAAGTAGAAAACTCAGCCAGCTAAGGATCACTTAGCTGTGTAAAACTGAAAGGTCCAAGTGAGGGGTGACTGAAAACATGAACTGTGGGTAAGCATCCCAGGGATGGGGATTTCAAAGATTCTGAAATAGAGATTTAATATGTAGGAATTGCAAGCCATGGAAAGGCTTTTTGTTGAGGCAAATATCTGGTTTTTAGTATTAAATTTTAAAAAGACATGGAGGACTCACCATTCAAAGGTGCTGCAGTGTGGATGAGGGGCTAGAAAATAGGCCTGTGAAGACGAGTAAACACGATTAGCACCGTTATGCCTGGGAGAGAAAGCCAAGAGGAGTTTGATTGTCAGGGTATGAAGTGTTGTGATAGAGAAGTGTGAGCAGCAAATGTCTGCATCTGCTGAAGATGTTTTACAAGTAAATTTTACATTCATTACTAAGAAGAACTTGCTGCTTGGTAGATGATGGATTTCCAATGTGACTGTGGTCCTTTTTCACTAGAGGTCATAGGTGAATTTTAGAAATCAATTTAAAGTGGCTGGGCCTGGAGGCTCACACCTGTAATCCCAGCACTTTGAGAGGCAGAGGCGGGCGGATCACCTGAGGTCAGGAGTTTGAGACCAGCCTGGCCAATGTGGCAAAACCCCGTCTCTACTAAAAATACAAAAATTAGCTGGGTGTAGTGGTGCACACCTGTAATCCCAGTTACTTGGGAAGCTGAAGCAGAATCCCTTAAGCCCAGGAGGGAGAGGTTGCTGTGAGCTGAGATTGTGCCACTGCACTCCAGTCTGGGCAACAGAGCGAGACTCTGCCTAAAAAAAAATACATATACATATATATATATATAATATATATATAATATAAAGTAATATATATAAAGTATGTAAAATATATAAAAATATATATTATATAAACTATATATATAAAGTAAGTTCTAGCTTACAAAAAAATTGCAAATGTAGGACAAAGACCTCCAGTGTTCCTGTCACCCAGATCCCTCTACTGTTAACATTTTTTTAGATTTTTGACACTGAGATATCTGTTGAGTATCTATTTAAATCTGTCTCTCTGAAACCATTAGCCTTTTCTGATCTATTTGAGAAGTGCCTATATGATGCCCCATCACTCCTAAAATCTTCAGTGTGTCTTTCCAGAAACCAAGGATGTTCTTGTACATAATCACACCATACAGCCCTCCTAGTGGTGAACCCAGTCCACAGACCCCATCAGATTTCACCAGCTATCTTAACGATGCTCCCTTTTTTTTCCCCCTGGTCCAGTGGCTCACCTGGGAACCCTGCTTGCATTTGGCTGCCATGTCTCTTCGGTCTCCCCACATCTGGAACGATTCCTCCGTCTTTCCCTGTCTTTCATGTTCCTGACAATCATGTTCCTGACAAGTTCATAGAGTACAGCTTTCATTCTAGAGGGTGACCCTCAAGCTGAATATATCTGATGGTGTCTCATTACCAGACTGCAGTCATGCTTTCTTAGGAATACAACAGAAATGAAACACTATGTCTGGGCACAGGGTCATAGATGTATTTAGAGGCCTTCCTGTCCTTGTAATTTAATGACAAGTTGCTCACACTATCCAGTCATTCATTCTGTATAAACTAAGTACCCAATTGATTGTGAAACTCTAGGGGGCGAATGGTAACTAATAAAAATGTCTAATGTGGAAGCAATTGTGCTGTATTTCCTTCACTTCTAAGTTCACTCTTACTAGTGAGAAAGTAAAGATCTGTGATGCTATTAGTTAAAAATGTGTGTTTTTGTAATTTTTTTTTTCCATTTAATCTTTTTTCCTTTTTAACATAGGCATACCCCAACCCTGGGATTGTGTTCCCCAAGTGAAGATTCTGTGTCTGGATTTTGGACCCCATTTTCCCATTAAATGAATTTTGGTTAAATAGTAGTTTCCATTTAACATTATGCAAAGGAAATAAACTTATTTAACCTGTAATGTAGCTAACAGTGACTTTTGGGATGATCTTTTTTTTTTTAAAAGGAAAAAAACTATCTGAAGAAATATAGAAACTGATAAGAGCTCGCAAATGGAACATGGGGCCAGCCCCTTTCCCTCAGGAAGCCAACCTGAGATCACCTCTGTTGGAGTCCTTATCTTTGTTTCACAGCCTTTTGTTTAGGATTCTTTGCTTGCATAGGATATTATGTGGTTTCTTTCTTTGCCTTACTTAATGTTAATTTAGATTAGCAATTTAGCTTTAGTTAGGTGGGATTGAAGCAAAATAGTGGTGCTCAAATGGAACCCTCTGTGGCTGATCCTCCTAGGCACTCTTCTTGGGACTGAATGGCTTCATCAGTTTTACCTCTCAGCGCCCTAGTTTTGGCTGCCTCTGCTTCCTCTGCTGCCCAGTTCCCCCTCGCCCTTGCCCAGGCTGGTTGTGGGGTAAGACAGGCTTTCTCCTTAGCTTACTGCTAGCATTCACCTGAACAGCACAGGTTCAGTCTTTACTGGTAGTAGCTCCAGGAAAACAGCAACCTGTGACAAATAGTGGCACCATTACAGAGTTATAAAAAGAAATCCCTCCAAATTTGAAATGATAGTCATAGAAGACCTGTTCTTCATCAGATGTAAGTGAGGCCAGGTTTACTTTTCAGAGGCCTTTCTCTGGCTCATCCACTTGGCTGTGCCCAGGCTTGTCTGGTTGAAAGCAGGGCAAGCCACCAGTCTTCAGTCTGTACTCAAGATCTAATGGGACCCCATCACTGAAATGCCGGTGACTCAGAGAAGTCTGGCCACATTACATTTTATATACTTATCTTGTTTATTATTGTCTGTCCTTCTCCCTACAATGTCAACTCTCTGAGAGCAGGGATCTTGGCTGGCTAGTTCACCATGTTAGTCTCCAGACCTAGAACAGTACCTGGGTCTTCATAGGCACTCAGGAAATACTTGCTAAATGAAGGCACCTGCTTCCCAGACTTTTCCTATTGCATTTCCGTGTTTACTTTGTGGATTTTATTCTTTTGTCTCTTATTGGTGTTCATTTTGTTTTTTAGATTTCCCTGGTGACTGCTGCGTACTTTTGTGTCTTTTGCTTTAGATGCGTCTGTCATTTTCTGCTTCTTAAACCAGAGAAGCATTCTCACAAAGGCGTGATTTGGTATTTGGGGGTTTTTTGACCTCTAATCAACACCTTGTAACAAAGACATGATTTCGAAGAAGAGCATGGTCTAAATCCAACTCCCTATTACTTATCAGTGTAATTGCTTATAAAATGTTTTTTTTTGTAGTGAAAAGAAGAGATTGGACCTGGAAAAGAAACTTTATGAATGTCATCAGTCTGATACATACAAGTAAGAGACGACAGTGGGAACCGTTTTCAAGCTAGGTTCCATATATTAATCAAAAATTTAGCTCTAATGTTATGCCATAAATATTGTAGTTAGAGTACTGGTTTTTTGTTTTCGTTTTGTTTTGTTTTTTTGAGATGGAGTCTTGCTGTTTTGCCCAGGCTGGAGTGCAGTGGCGTGATCTCGGCTCATTGTAACCTCTGCCTCCCAGGTTCAAGCAATTCTCCTGCCTTAGCCTCACAAGTAGCTGGGATACCTGGGATTACAGGTGCATGCCACCACACCAGCTAATTTTTCTATTTTTAGTAGAGACTGAGTTTCACCATGCTGGCCAGGCTGGTCTTGAACTCCTGACCTCAAGTGATTCCCACGCTTCTGTCTCCCAAAATGCTGAGATTACAGCAGTGAGCCACCGTGCCCGGCCTAGTTGGAGTACTCTCACCATTCTCTTATTTTTAGTGTGTAATAATTTGAAATAAACAGTGCAGATGAATATAATTACTATCAAATACATTTGGTTAAAATCGATATGAGATCAAAATATGTTATTTTCATTATTTTGTATTTGTTTTATTTCATAGCCTTATCTTTTTGGTTGCAATTTAAACACATTGAGCTTGTGTGATGATGAAGACATAATTACTGTAGTTGATCTTTCAGTGTACTACTGTAGGCATGGTTACCTGGTATCTCATTTGTTCATGGGTATGTGAGAATGACTATTAAAATTATAAGTAGTGAATAATATATTGTACATATTATCCTTTTTAGGTTTCTTCCTCCACTATTAAGAGCAGATTTTAAATATTTTAATTTCTATTTTATAAAAACTGAACTTTATCCTTAAGCCAAAAGTATGGCATTACCTCTTATATTATTCATGTGAAGAACTTCTGGCTTTGATAGCATTCAATTTGTAATTTATTAATGTCACACTATAAGTGAGAAATGAAAAGATCTCATCCAGAAGAGAGAGAGGCCAAGAATCCTGTAAAGTCAAATTACCTATTAGGTCAGTTCTTTCCCTTGTCTTCAAAATTGTTCTTTGGTTTTAAGATTTAGTGTACTTCTAGACCTTTCAGTTGAGGTAGACAGCCATATGTCTCTGGTAACTCTGAAAGAGACAAGAAATCAGTTGTTTTGTGTGTGGAAGGAATAGCTAGCATTGTGGATGCTGTGGCCTCAAGAGTGGGCCCAAGTCTAAGGGGATCCTTGGCAGCTGCCATTTTTCTAACCATAGCTAAAGGGCAGAAGATTGTGTGTAGACGTTTCATGCAGTCTGTTCTTGGGAAGCCTCCTGGCCTTCTGGTGGTGGGAGGGGCAAGTGCGAGAAAAGGATGGACACTTTTACCAAACTGTCAGTTCACTGAGCTGCTACTGCTTTGCCAGCCTCTTACTGTTTCCTGGAAGACAGAGGATATGATTTACTAAAAATAGGCTTGCTTAGATTGCCTGTAGAAGAAAATCCAAACAAGGCTACCTCCACCTAGTACCTGCCAGAAGGCAGAGTCTGAGATGAGGGTCTGTGTATAAGTGGTAATTTATTTGACAAGGTGATCACCTAAAATTGGAGAGCAGGGCTGGGCAGACCAAAATAAGAGCTGTTCACTGCAGTGAGCACCTGGGGCTCTAGTCGCTCCAGACCTTCAGAGGAGCCTTCAGAGGAGCAGTGTAGACTACCCTTCTGCTCTGCACAGTGTCTACTCCTGTGAAAGGAGAGGTGCTGTACTCCTACCGATTCCTGACCCCCCACTGGTAAGTGTGGCCCCAGGTGGAGGTAACTCCTTCACACATCTAGGCTTTTCCATGCTGCAAACTCAGAACGGCGGCCCTGAGATGCCAAGTGCAGCTGAGGCAGAGGCAGATGCTCTCAGGTTATACCACATGCATGCAGTAGGCTGTGGCGGCTATGGCGATTGTGGCTGGTAGAAAAAAGGTTGGGCCAGGAGGTGTGAGGTGGGCACAAGAGGTGTCTCATCCAGCAGCCCACCAGACCCACCGTTATCTGCACCCTTTTAAATTTACATTATAATCATCTCTCTCCAGCTTCTCCCTAAGATTCGACACTTGACTGAAACGTCAGGCTCTTAAGCATGACGGGATGTTTTGTAATGTAGTATAAACTTCTAGGCCTGCGGTTAGGTGCTTCAATTCCATCTGAGCTTCACCAGCTCTAAGCCGGTGACCTTGGGGCAATTACTCCAACATTCGGTGCCTCCATTTCTTCTTCTGTCAAATGGGAATAATGATAGTTGTGAGAACTCAACAAGATTCATACAAAGCCTTAAAGCAGTGTCTGATCTGGAGCCAATTATTATTTATTACAATTTCATCAACATTCTTTTTCCTGTGTTTTGCCTTTGAGCTTTCTGACATGCTGTTTCCCCCACTTGGAATGTTTTCCCCTTATCTTTTCATTTTTGACTTCATCAGTTTTGATTAACTCTCATTCATCTTTCAGGTCTTTTTTTTTTTTTTTTTTTTGTTCGGAGACAGGGTCTTGCTCTGTTGCCCAGGCTGGAGTGCAGTGGTGTGATCTCGGCTCACTGCAGCCTCTGCCTCCCGGGTTCAAGCAATTCGCCTGCCTCAGCCTCCTGAGTAGCTGGGATTACAGACACACACCACCACACCCGGCTAATTTTTGTATTTTTAGTAGAGGTAGTGTTCCACCATTCTGGCTAGGCTGGTCTCGAACTCAGGACCTCAGGTGACCCACCCACCTTGGCCTCCCAAAATGCTGGGATTACAAGCGTGACTCCCTATGCCTGATCCATCTTTCAGGTCTTAGCTGAAAATTATTTCCACTGGGAAGACCTCCCTGGCCCTTTCAGCTAGGTAAGGTTGCGCAGTGTCTAGAAGTCCTTTTTAGTTTCCCTCATAGCATTCATCCCATATTTACTTATTTCATTGTTTTCTTTGTTGACCTTAGCTGAAAGACTTTTATCTTGGGAGTGCTGAATATATGGATGATTGCATGGGTAGATGAGTTACTCAGTCATGTGGTCAGCTTTGAAGGTTAATGTGGTAGCTGGAATGGAACTAGAATTTGGATGGAGAGGCATGGTGTAGACACCACCAGCAGCAGCTTTACTGAGTGCCTGAGTGTGAACGACAGTATGTTAGGTTCTACCTCCATTACAGTTACTCTCGTCAAAAATGCAGAGACACGGGCAGCAATAAGACCAGTCTTCAGTTTTTATTCAGAAAGAAAAATGAAGACAGCCAACCATGGTCAAAGCATGGAATTATTAACACGATAAAGACTTTCTTGAAAATTGTTGTTAAACAACTTTGGACATCTCCAGCGTCTTTGCAAATCTTTGTTTTGATTCAAACAAATATTCAAAAAAATGTTTTGAATATTTTTGTCATTTTAAAATTTATTTTTGTTTGATGAAAGAACGTTGAATAATTTATTGAGCCAACAGTTGAAATGCTGTATAACAGGGAAGAAGAATTAGGATTAACGGCCTTGGTACCATGAGAAAAGTCAACTGCACAACTTGAACTATCCCATATCTCTTTGTATGTACAGAAAAATTGGAATGCAGAGTATGTTTTTGCTATTATACTTTGGATAAGAGTCTTAAAGGTTTTTTCACAGTTGGAGTAGTTACAGTCCATATATTATTATAAAATGTTTTAATAGTGAATTATATTGTTGCAATTTCTAACAAGTATGTTTGTGTTATCTAAATGAGAGCTTTTGGTATTTTAACATTTTTAAATTTCTTTTAAATTTCTTAATTTTATGGATTGTGATTTGTAGTTTGATTTAATTCCTTATGAGCAGTTATTTTTGAAATTGTTGTGTATAAGAATCTTAGTGAGCCATTCGTCAAACATGTTCACATAGACACGACTCTTGAAATCACATTTAATTTTGAGAAATAAGTCCATAGAAATCTTTACTGTGTGAATGTTAGAATGTGGTCTTGTATATATTTCTCAGGGGAGTTGTGCTTAGAGGAAACCGATATGATAGCTCAGTGGTACTGCATTAATTTTCTCTCTCCAAAAATGTGTATGTGCATTTTGTCCTTTGGGTTTTAGTGGTTTGGGTAAAATATCTTAGAATACATTGTCTCATTAACAATTTTGATAAAGAAAATTCTCTTTCTTAGATTTGTCCAAGTCTAATCCATTGTTTTAAAACTGCTTTTAATTTTCTAGACTTAAGCTGAAATATGTAAAACTAAAGAATTATCTAAAGGAAATATGTGAATCTGAAAAGAAGGCTCGTATTCGAAACCAAGAATATTTAGAGCGATTTGAGCGTGTCCAAGCTCATGCTTTACACTTCACCACAAACACAGAGAAGCTTGAAAAACTGAAGGTGACTTCCTGTTTTTTTTACTATGTTTTATTTTATTAATTAATTAATTTATTTTTTCCAAGATGGGGCCTCAATGTGTTACCCAGGCTAGACTTGAACTCCTGGGCTTAAGCAGTCCTCCTGTCTCAACCTCCTGAGTAGCTGGGATTACAGATGCACGCCCCATGTAGCTGTGTACTTTCTGAGTAGCTGAAATTACAGGTGTACACCCCATGTAGCTGTGTACCTCCCGAGTAGCTGAGATTACAGATGCACACCTCATATAGCTGTGTACCACCTGAGTAGCTAAGATTGCAGGTGCACACCCCATGTAGCTGTGTACCTCCCGAGTAGCTGAGATTACAGGTGCACACCCCATGTAGCTGTGTACCACTCGAGTAGCTGAGATTACAGGTGCACACCCCATGTAGCTGTGTACCACCCGAGTAGGTGAGATTACAGGTGCACACCTCATATAGCTGTGTACCTCCCGAGTAGTAGCTGTGTACCACCTGAGTAGGTGAGATTACAGGTGCACACTCTATATAGCTGCAATTCTCCCGAGGTGCTGAGATTACAGGTGCACACCTCATAGCTGTGTACCTCCCAGTAGCTGAGATTACAGGTGCACACCTCATATAGCTGTGTACCTCCCGAGTAGCTGAGATTACAGGTGTACACCCCATGTAGCTGTGTACCTCCCGAGTTGCTGAGATTACAGGTGTACACCCCAGGTTTATGTTTTGTTTTTAATCTTTTTTTTGCTAAAATGAGAAATAATGAGTAGTAATTTTCAGATCAGTGGTAGTCACTAATGTTTAGTTGTTCATACTTAGGATTATGTATCAGCTTTTTCTGTGAATTACTGTATGGCTAAATATTATCAGAGAACTTGAAACTGCATTTTCCAAGATTCTTCTTTAGTTGAGGAATCAATGGGATATCTGTAACACAGGCAAGATCACTAGCCAGTACCTGGCACGGTGTAACACATGGTATTTGTTGGCTGAATGACTGAATTTGAGCAGCATTGGGGTTCCCTCTAGAAACTGATTCTGTCTTGAAAGGGTTCGTTTTCTGTGGTCTGGGCCCCTCTCTGGCAAACAGTGCACTGGCACAGCAGTAAAGATAGAACTGTCCCCGAGGAGTTTGCCTTCACGCTCCTGGACTGTGTGACCCAGAGTGACTGCCCTTGCAGCCCTGTCTGGTTCTGGCACCTTTTTCCCCTTGAAGTGCAGGTGCTTGGCTACCTGCTGCTGCTTGGCTACCTGCTGCTCCACAAATTAGGCCAAGTGTGGAGGGCCAGGAGCTAGGCATTTATCCTCACCATTTCCACTGGTCAGGTGTTGTCCAATTTAACCCACCTTAACATTGATCACAGGAGGAGTTGAATTCAGTGTTCTGCCTGCTAGCCTGCTACTGAGCCCCCCTACCTTTTTTTTTCTTTTGCCTTGCAGTTTTTCTTCAGCCTTTTATTGTAAAATTATCAGATACACGAAGAGTTAGCATAATTATTGTGATGAACACTCATAATTCTCCACTTAGATGCAATAGTTTTAAATATCTTGTTGTATTTGCTTGGTATATTTTTTTTCTTTTCTCTGAGCCATTGAAAGTCTGCTGCAGGCATCATGACATTTCTTTCCTAAGCACTTGAGCATGGATCTCCTAAATGCAGGGGCAGTCTCCTGCATAATCGTACCATTATCACATCTAAGAAGATTAAAAATGATTTCATAATATTTTGTTTTTTGAGACAGGGCCTCACCCTGTCATCCAGGCTGAAGTGCAGTGGCGTGATCATGGCTTATGGTAGGCTCAACCTTCTAGGCTCAAGCAAGGCTCCTTCCTCAGCCTTAAGCTGGGACTATAGGTGTGCACTACCATACCTGGCTAATTTTTTAGTTTTTGTAGAGATGAGGTCTATGTTGCCCAGTCTGGTCTTGAACTCGCGGTCTCAAGCAATTCTCCTGACTTGGCCTCCCAGAGTGCTGGAATTACAGGTTTGAATCACTGCACCCAGACATAATATTATTTAATATTCAGCTCATATTTGGATTTCCCCACTTCTCCCAAAAAGTAACTTATTTTTCCAGACCAGGAGCCAACTAGGGCTCACGTATTGTTTTTTGCGTTATTGTGCCTTTTTTGTCTCTTTTAATTGAATTTAGTCTCCTACCATTCCTCCTTTTTTTTCCCCATGTAATTGGCTGTTTTGAAAAAGGCAGTTCATCTGCTTGTAGAATGATCCACATTCTGAATCTAAGGCATCGTTTAACTTGCACAGCAACCCCTGTATTTCCTGTGAACTGGAAATGTGGTCTATACAAGCACTGTCCAATAGAATTTTCTGCAGTGATGGCAATGTTCTGTATATATACTGATGCTATCTAATACAGCTACTGCTCATATATGGCTATTGAGCACTTAAAATGTGGTTTGTGACACTGAAGACTGTATTTTTAATTTTGCCAATTTTAATTAATTTTAATTTAAACAGTCACAGCTGAGGTTATACTTCCAACTGCATCCCATCAGGAGGCCCATGATGTCAGGTGGCCCCTGGGTGAGGCTGACTTTGACCCCTTGGTTAACATGATGATCTCTAGTTGTCTCTATTGTAAGGTGCATTTTCTTCCCCTTTGCATGTTAGTAACTAATCTGTGGAGTGATGAGTTGCCATCATGGGAATATTGTGTTCCTCAATATCCTTTTACCTAATCGTTTTAGGACCCATAGATGAGCCTTGCCTGAACCAGTTATTTCTAGTGGAGGTTTTGAAAAATGGTGATTTTCTGTTTTATTGTATCTTCTGTTAACTGACTTTCCTCTATAACAAAGAGCGTTTTCCCTATTTTCTTTCTTTCACCGCCCCCCCCCCCTTTTTTTTTAGCCTACAACAGCACCTGGTATTCCCAGGAGTCTCCCATCCAAGTATGAAAAAGGCCCAACCCTGCTTAGCCTTCAAGATCAGATGAGAGCAAGCATGTTCAGGGTGGTATGGCCATAGACCCCCCCCTTTTTTTTAATGTTATGATGGACTTGTGAATTTCTATTTACTAGTATGTTATCAATTACAGTAATTATTCTTTTTGTCATTTTATTGTCTTATATTTGGCCAGTGGGAGTCTTTCTAGATTGGCTCCTGTGTCCTTTTGACATAACCCCCTTAATTCTGAGCCTTCTTTGATCTGGGGCATAACAAGATATTCCAGGTTCACCTCACATTTTTTCTCCCTCAGATATGGAATTAGCCTCCTATCCAAGGAGCTGTGGTTCTTTTTAATGGAGAGGGGTATTTAGAAAACAAGATATACAGTTAAATGTGCTCAGGCAATAGCAAGTTTTAGCTCCCCATTTTTTTATTTTAGTATTCGTGAAAAATGTTTAAAGTTCAAAAAAAGTTGTCAGTATCAATGTTGTAAACCACTTTTCAAAGATTTCATGGAGAAAATGAAAGTGATGGGCAAAGGAGGGAATTTTGTCTTCCCAATAAAATAAAGGAAAAATAGAAAATTTCTGCTGATTTTCATATTAAGGCTTCATTTAATTATTGATTTCTTATTATGGCCAAATATGAGAGGAAGGACTTTGAAAGGAAGAATCATCTTTTAAAGTTTTTTTATATTGAGAGCATTCGTTATATAAAATAGGATATGTTATAAAAAACTTGTATGAGCTACTGAAGACTGTCAACATGGGGGACCATTTTAATGTGACAAACTAGATAGGAATATGAAAAGCTCTATTAATAAATATGGTTCAAAAATTATGTAGGTATTCCTTTTTTGAATTTTGGATGAGGAATGCCTTTAAAAAAAATTGTTCTAGTAGCATAAAAGGCCAAATCATGGCACTACACTCGGGAAGAATGTGAATTCCATGGAGAACTCAACTTTGACAGTCACCCTGGGTCCAAAGCCAATGTTTGTTGTGTGCCTACGAACCCAGATAGCAATGTCAGAGACCCCACCAGTGATCCCACCTTCTTCAGCAGGCTGTGCAGTGAGCTGAGGTTCAACATAGGGGATGTTTGTCTCTGGTGTTTTCCCTTTTCTTTCTGCTTCTTCCTTTTGGGCCAGTGTCCAGTGGTGGCCCAGGTATGCCAGAACCACTTGTCTCCTCTTAATGCTGCCCATCCAGGTATCAGGTCTTTACCTCCTTTCTTGATTGACCTCACATAAGTCTTAGGAGAAAGGTGTTCATAATGCATTGCCCACACACCCCAAAATGCCACAGGTATTTCACCTTGAACAGACTACAGTTAATACACATGAGCTTCAAATTGGTAGAATTCCAGAAAGTGAACCAAGTGAAGCAGTGTGAGAGAAGTGGGGATTTTGCCCAAATTGATACCAAGTGAGTTTCTCCCACTTTGTAGAGGTGGGCTGGGCCCAGTTCATTATATGATGTTAAAATCTCTTAAAATGAGCTAATTGCTGAAAACACTGTCAACTGGTTTTATGGTTCATAATACTTTATTTGGAGGCCTATAATAATTTTTAGGGCTTTTAAAGGATATTGACGTGTTATGTAGTTTTGAAAATATAGTGTTATATCTATGTTGCTACTTGTCAGTTGGATAAAGGGGCTGAATAAACAGTTCAAAAATGTAAATATTAGGTCTGGGCATGGTGGCTCATGCCTGTAATACCAGTGCTTTAGGAGGCTGAAGTGGGAGGATCACTTAAGGCCAGGAATTCGAGACCAGCCTGGACAACATAGTGAGACCCCATCTGCACAAAAGGTTTAAAAATTAGCCAACTCTGGGGGTGTGCACCAGTAGTCTCAGCTGCTCAGGAATCTGAGATGGGGAGAGGATCATTTGAGCCTAGGAGGTTGAGGCTATAGTGAGCTATGATGGTGGCACTGCAGTCTAGCCCTGGTGACAGAGCAAGACCCTGTCTCTCCAAAAAAAATTAATAATAATAAAATAAATTTTTAAAAACCTAAGAATGTAAATATTAGTATTAATGCTGTGAGGAGTGTGCCCTCCTCTCCCTCATTCCGCCCCCCTGCTCCCTGTATTAGCTGCTTTTGTAAAAGGGGCCCCAGTTGGTCCTAACTTAAAGCAGTTTCACTCAGGTGCCCATTATCCTTGTCTCAGGTTGGGTTCTCCCTGAAGTAGACCTGGAGAACAGGGATTTGACAGTAAGTGGTTTATTTGGGAGATAAGGAATATCAGTAGGCGAGGGGGGATTAAGCCAGCTACCATAGTCAGCCCGGCACCAAATCCTACAGGGAACTTCTGGCAAGTGGTTTGCACATTTGGGATATGTGTCCAGCAGCTCCTAAGCAGCACTGATTGAGGACTGATGGGCAAGGTTGTAGGTGGTAGGGAATTAACCAAACGCTCCCCAGAGCAGCCTTCCCAGGTTCTGAGAAGCCTTAGGCATGGAGCCCCAGATTCCAGAACTTAGGAGTGACCAGAAAGGTCCCAGGGACGTGTGTAGAACAGCATCTGCCTTAGCCTCCCTCATGGCAGTATTGCCAGGCATGGGGCTGACATGTCAGGGCATTCGGGGAGGATCCCCATAGCAGGCCCAAGAGTCTTCATCTGGTTAGGTCTCTCCTTGGCCTGAAATGCTGGCTAAGGCTTTTCAAGACAAAGTCCAGACGCTGGTCTCTGCCTGCACAGAGCAGCCTCACCCTTATTACTCCTCCCAACACGTGCGCACACACATGCACACACACACACACACTCTCTCTCTCTCTCTGTCTGTCTCTGTCACACGAATACACAGACATGTGCACATTTTTTCTCCCTATCTTTCCCTAATTTGTCCCCTTCCATCTTCTCCTGCCATCCCCATTTCTCCCTCTTATCTCTCCCCACTCTCCTATTCCTGTCTCCTTGCCTCTTCTTACCCCCAAATCTGTCTCTTCCAGATCCTCTAACTCTTCCACCCCCATATCTTCCCACTGTCTCTCTACATCTTTATCTCCCGCACACGTACACACACACACTCTCTCTCTCTCTCACACACACAGTCTTACATCATCCACAGTACTTTAAGCATGCTGAACAATTTGCATTTCCTTGAAAGCACCACATTATCTCATACCTCCTTCAATTAGAAGGCCTTTTTCCCCCTGCCCTGCCTTAGGTCTGTGTCATAATTATCTCAGTAAGCACTTCCTTCATGGTATTATAATTGTTTACATGTCTGTTTTCCCACTTCACTGTGAGCTCCTTGTCTTCTTATTTCAATGCTCTCAGTATCTGACCCAGAATATGGCACATAATAAGCACTCAGTAAGCATCGAGACTTCCCCCTTGACTGAAATTAATTCTTCCGTATTTTTTATCTCATTCTGTTATGGACCATGAACTAGTAGTATGTGAGAACTAATGTGGTATTGATGATACTCTTTATTATACCTTCCCAGTTAGCATTTCTGTTTAATAGCAGAGGGGTTTTGAATATATAATGTCATTATTTAAAGCTATGATTCTCCAGGCCTGGACAACATGATGAGAACCTGCAAAAAAATAGAAAAAGTTAGCTAGATGTGGTGGCATGTGCTCTAGTCCCAGCTATTGGCGAACTGAGGTAGGAAGATTTATTAAGCCTGGGAGGTTGAAGGGCAGTGAGCTGTGATCATGCCACTGCACTCCAGCCTGGGTGACAGAGCAAGACCTTGTCTCAAAAAAAAAAAAAAAAATAAATAAAGTAAAATAGATGTGTTTATCCTTGAAAATTCAGTCATTAGGTTATGTATGCTTATAAGGGGCTAATATTTGAGAACACATCTTTTGAACTCTGATTTGATTTCTACTAAGGATTGTGACAGACATTGTGAGCAGGGCACAACCTTCAGGCCGCTGGAGGACAAAGTGTGTAGCACATACCATTTTTTGTCAACCAGAGTGTCTTGCCTGTTAATATACATTAGTTGAACAAATAAACGTTCCCCCATATCTTTGGTAAAAGTTCAGGAGCTAAGAGGAAGCACAGATACTGGAAAAAAATAGGAGAAGAGAAAACAAAAGACTGTGAATCTTAGTTGTGTCTCTCATACTGACCTGAGGACAAAATCAGCCCATTATGTAACTCTCTGTACCCATTTCCTCAACTCTAATATGAGGAGACACGCCAGCAGATTTTAAATGTCAATTCAATTCAATTATTCACTTATTCTGTAACTTGAGAATTAGCTGAGCAACCCTGAAAAACAATGAAAAAGGAAGTTTGTGGCAAAAAAAGGTAGTAGTGACACTTTCAGGCAAACAGTAAAGTGATTGAAGGGAAATTGACGGAAGTGAAAATACAGAAAGTAATGTAATGGAAAACGTTTGTGAGCTTGGAGAGAAATCCCAGAGACCAGAAACTTCTGCGAGAACCTCCATCAACCCCCAGTCATTGTTAACAGATTTCATTAATTCCACTGAAATAAATTACTTGTGCATAGTGAGGAAGTAAATGGGAAGGTCCTACTAAGTTTAGGTGGGCAGCATCAAGCCAATGCTGTGAAGCAATACGGTGACAGACAGAACAAGTTACCTGATGGATTAACTCAGTGCTCTTGGGTTTATTAAAACAGTTTTCTCGGGTTGGGGCTGGGAAGATAAGGGAATTATTTATCCCTAGAGGGGCTCCAAACCAGGAGATGTTACTGGTGCGTGAGTAGGCTCTGGAGAGCACTGTGGAAAACTCCTGCTTTCCAGTGTTCAGCACATGGATAATAACCAGGTGTTGTATATAAAAATAAAAAGGAAAAAAAGAAAAAAGAGAACAAAGCATTTTTTGATGGAAATCCATGGTCCTAGGGGATGCAGGCTTACAGTCTGTATCAATCATTAATTTATCATTGTATCTCTGCAACTTCATTGTGCCATTTCTATTTGCATTATTTAGAAAAAGAGTATCTACAGTTTAGTGACTTTTTCAGTTGCATTGAGAGCAATCTAAATTGGGCTCTTAAAGATACTTCTTTCTGTTCTTTAGGAAGACTTTATGCAGTTATCACTTCCTTTTTCCTTCAGCAAAATGAATTGAATAAAACTCATATTTCTTTGAGCAAGTGCTCTGTCTTTGGAAGGTATGGCTCTGAAATGATCCTATAATGAGGAAATCAGGTACAATGCTCATTGATCTCAAAGAGCAGAAGAAAACCTTTGTAGTCACAGGAAAAAAGAATTTTTGTTTAACCTGTAATTGTATGTTTGTATTGTAATTCATCACCCATTTCTTTTTTGAGATACTGTCCCTTGGAATCTGTAAGGGATATCTGTTTAAAGCTCTTGTGGGTAAAATGTAAACACCTCTAAGTTCAAAGGAATAGATATGGAACAGAGAGACGTAAAATGTATCTTCGTTATTGCTTTATCTATTCTTAGTTTATTATTTTATCATTTGTACTGGCCTTATAAAATTTTCATTTAATTGGGTATCTATTTAGAGAATTATTGCCATCTATCATATTAATAGTACTCTGCTGGTTAAAAAAAATCCATACCTAACTGTTACTAACAATGAGACCGCATATATTAATAATACCTTTCAGAATATTTTGAGAGAAACAAATCAGTTTGGTTATTAGTGCCCATTCATTTTTTGTGTGTCAGAACAAAGCTCGGGCCTATTTTATGTTCAATCAGAGAACTAAGGAAACAGCTTTCAATTTCATCATCTCATAGGTGTGTTTCTAATTACAGTGCATACCTGCCTAATTTAGAAAATGTTCTGATACTTATCTGTGATGGACCACAATCCATGACTTTTTTAAGGCTTTAATTACTAGCGTACTGAATCAAAGTGCTTTTTTATGCCTTGCTTTTAAGAAAAAGTCATTTTAAGATTGAATCACTTTCACCAATTATAGTGTGGTAATGATGCAGACATCTTTATATAGTTATTAATGCCAGAGCAAACTGGATTCTGATCATTGATGTCTGCAGTATATTTTTATTCATAGAAAATGGAATTTGTTTTAAGTTGATGATCTAGCAAGTATACTCAATTGCTGTGACGATCAGAATCATGATATTTTGTAGATATCATACAGATAAGAAATCAGTAGGATTGATTTTTTTTTCTTTTGTTTGGGGCAAAACTTCTAAAAGGAAACACTGTCTAATGTGTTACTTTCATAATAAAGGAATTGAATTTTTGTGATAAAGTATCAAACTGTATACATATATACACACACATATATATGTGTGTGTATATATATATATAAAGATTTTATTCGCTAAGTTGATGAAAGTAAAAATCCATCAAATCTTATTTTATTTAAAAATTGTGGCATTTTGTAAAATTCAACTTTCGATATGTGTTATTTGCAAAATTGTTCATTTTCTAAGATAAGGTGAATTTCGTGGCAACATCAGCTTTTACTTTCTACTTCAGTGTTCCCTGTATGTTGTAAAGACTGCAGTACACAGACAGGTGCTAGTTGTAAAAATATTTATCACAAAATCAAACTTTGTTTATATTTAGCTTGAATATGAGATTCAAATTAAGAAGATGCTACTCTCAAAAAAGAGTCTGGGACTAAAAGGTGAACTGAAAGATGAAGACAGAGAAAAGGTAATAAACTAAATTGATAACCTTTCTGTTAACAGAGGAGTTCTGGAGTGTTTATATTTTAAGATATTGTTTTAAATAAAATCATCTTATTAGAAAGATCCATTAGATTAAACCTTAAGTGATTAAAGATTTTTGCTTACAGACTATTGCTTTAATGTCTAATTAAGTTTGCTGAAAGGGAGTTACTTTGGGAAGAAAGGATAGACTCTAAAGAAAACCTCAATGTTGTCAGTAGGTAAAATTATTTTTCTAAATCATGCCTTGTAGCTGCTCTTTTCTTAGTTTGAGAAGTGTTTTAAATGAAAAGTAAACAAAATATGGCATTTTGATTCTTTTATTTGTGTGAATATATATAATTCTGTACATTTTAACTTTTGCACAGAAAAAGTGGAAAGAACAGATTGCATATCTAAGCAATAGACAAAAAGATCGGCAAGGAATACTTAAATAAATTCTGCTATGTATCTGCTGTAATGCAGGCTTCTAATCCTCCCGCCTATCTCCATATAAATGATTCTGTTCAAGACCATAGATGTTTTCTTCACTAAAAGCAGTAAAGCTCTTTTAGATGAAATGTCTAAAAACATCTTGTAATAACTTGGAGCATGCTGGCAAGAGTAGTCACTTGTGACTGTGTGTGAAACCCCCTCAGCCAGTCGATATTGTAATAAGCAAAAATGGTAGCATCACTCCATTATTCAGAAAAGCCAACAGCGTGCTTGTTCCTTAGGCTGCAGCATTCATTAAGAAAAGCTTACTGGGCTGAAAGCTGGAAACAGATGATAACGGGATATGATTTTCATATTTAATGCTTTCCTTGGAAGAGTATGTGTGCTACAGATTGATAGAAGAATCAACTGCTACTTTACTAAAAGACTTTCAGGTTTGCCCTATAGCTACCGATGGAATCATTCAGCCAAGAAATTAACTTTTTCTCCTTTTACCTGCTTTATATATCTGCTAAGCAGGCTGCCTGGCTGCCAGTAAATGTTATTATGCAGTTAACTGTTTGGTATTTAAGACTCTTATCAGAAAAGAAACAGAGGCCACACTATTTTGTTTTTATAGTAGGAGGAAGGTTTTAGTTTTTCTTTCTTCCGTGCATTAGCAGGCATTAATCTGAGTTTATAGGAAGTTTTCGTTTTGCTTCCTCATAGATTAAAAAGTTAAAAAAAAACCCTAGAATTTAGAGCATTCTTTAAACTGTAAGATACAAAACACCAAGCCCTAGCAACCTTGACCTATATAAAAAGGCCTTTAATGATAAATGATGAATATGCCATTCGGTGTAGGCCAAATGTGATATGATGTGATAGACTTTTAAAGCATTCAAGCAGTTTTTCTGTTTGACATTCGGTCATGAAATAATTGATGTGTTTTAATCTAGAAGCCAGTTAGTTCTTTCTGTGCCATTCTTGATAGACATATTCTTAGCACGGCAGTGTCAATGGTACTTCAGGAAAACGGAAGCTTTTTTTTTCTTTATTACCCACTGATTCTTTACCTTGCATATAGTTATGGAGTCTCCTTTTAGGACGTATTTAAAATTAGGGCAAGAGACATACAGTTGACAACCCCTTAAAATCTTACATATAATAATTAGAAGTCTTTTCATTTATATGGAAAGATGTCATTTCCTTAAAAGCTTTGACTATTGGCTGTATAAGAATCAATTAGGTAACATTTTGAGAAATTTATATTTTGCCTTTTCTAATTTTCCACTGATGTTCAACTAATTAAAAGGTAAATGCATTTCAGCAAAATCATGTTTTAGTGACTCCTTCTATAATTCCTGAACAATTCCTTATCCTGTGAGTTATGTCTTATTGTTTAGTGGAAATCCAAGCTCGTCTTCTTTGGGCAGTTGTATGAATTGGTCTTGGTCATTGGCCCAGGGCCTTTCCTGAAGCATAGTACAGTCACTGGTTGAATCAGTAAGTAGTTGTTAAGCATATATTCTGTTTGAGAAGCCACAGTAGGCCACTCTATAAATGCCACAATTTTCTTACCTTCAAAGTGCTTCTCACAAAGCAATGTTCTTTCTAAGGCACAGAATAGTGTGTGATAAAGTGCCAGTCACGTGGGACAAGCATGAGCAGTGAGAAGAAAGAAGGTCCTGCTTCCCATGAATTGAGTAACCCCAGGCCTGGTGGAGGAGGTGGTGTGTGAACTGGCATAGAAGGATGGGCAGGATGCCAGTCAGTGGCAGAAAATGAGCCTGGAAAGCTACCTTGTGGGATTTAGTGCCTGAAACTATGGTACCAGGCTAAGAACTGAGATTTCCTCTTCGAATTTGTGTGTGTGTGTGTGTGTGTGTGTGTGTGTGTGTGTGTGTGTGTGT